GACATTACACACCCACCAGCGGTGGGTTTCAAAAAATTTTGGAACCTCTTCTGTAGGTCTGGCCTGCTTTCCGGGTCCACTGGTGTAACCTCATCTAACCGGTTCGGTAGATTTGACGAACCGGTTCTACCGAATAGGTGCGAACTAGTAGGAACCCACCTCTGAATTGTTCTAACTGTCAGGAAAGTTCTTAGTTCTAGGTTGGTTCTCTCCTTGATTAGTTTCCATCCATTGCTTCTTGTTCTGCCTTCAGATGCTTTGAGAATAGGTTGACCACCTTCTCTTCTTTGTATCAGTCCCTTAGATATTGGAACATTGTTATCCTGTCACTCCTAAACCTTCTTTCCATTAAACTAGACATACCCAGTTCTTGCAGCCATTCTTCATATGTTTTAGCCTCCAGTCCCCTAATCCTCTTTGCTGCTCTTCTCTGCACTCTTTCTAGAGTCTTGACGTATTATGTTGTTGTTGTTGTTATTATTAGTAGTAGTGGTAGTAATAGTTGAATATTACTGAAAATAGCATTTATTAAATTATTTCATATAATAAATGTTTGTGGATTGATGAACAAACTGAAACTTTATGAAGGAGTTGATGAAAGTTTCTGCTAAAGACCATTGACATCATCCTGGCTTTATATAAATGCATGGGAATCCATTGCATTCCAATGCAAACATTTCAAAGCAGACCGCTGCAGAGAAACCTCCTAGTACAATACTATGCCATTTAATTATAATGTAAATTTTTACTCCTTATAATTGAAGCTATGCTTACCTTTGGAGCATGGAACTTTACCGTTACAATCATTTTCATCCAATAATGATTTTGATGATACCTTGATGTGGTGTGTAAGATCAGAAAACTTGTGGTTTTGCAAAACTTGAGCATTTCTCTCTTTGGACTCTGATGTACCTTTGGGTAGATGTTTGTCTTTCAAAGAAATCCTACCATTTATTATTAATTCCTTTTTAGATGATTGCTCCAGAAAGGAATCAGATGCAACTTCGTGGTATTTGTCTTTCCTGCTTTGCTTTCTGTTGCTTCCTGAGAATCCATGTGCATCTATTAAAAATTAAGAAAAGGAAAACCAATTGCAAACCATACATGATATACCATTTCACACTCCTTGTGTCATTTACAAAACAGCAATTTTTTTTAAATTGAAGGATCGAATTCATTAATATACTTTTACATTTCAAAGAAGTAGTGCTGTCTCACCATGACTAAAAAACTGTGTACGATCATTAGCCTCTTCACTTGCTAGTTCCCTAAACTGTTTTTAATCATGTTATTTTTTTTTCCTAACAAGACTACCTGTGATTACAAATTAAAGCCTTCTTAAGCAGCACCGACATTTCATTTCCATTTCCACAGTACAAGGTTGTACATGCTACAACTTTAAGACAGCCACTGGGGAAATAATTGTCAAGAATTAAGGTATGCTTCATAAAAGATACATTATTGGTGTAATTTATTTCATAAACATATTGCAGCAGCCCGCTGTTTGACACAGATATTCGACTACAGGTAGGCTTTCTCTATTTTGGGGGCAGAAATTTATCGCAATTTATGTAGCTTTCTGTTAAGCTTCTTGGAGTGGAAATGTGAGAAGATTAGTGAACAATGTAATCTGATTCGGAATAAAAGACAAATTAATAAATGGCCATTAGCCCAAATGACTGATTATTGAGATTCCAATGTATAATGGATGAATAAACCTAGATCTTTGGAACTGAGACTCTTCTATAGGTTTACCCAGGAAAAAAGCAGCTGGCCTTCTTGTCAAAAGATATATGTATTTTGCCAGAATCATATTTCCCAACGAAGCCCAGAACTGGCTTTATGCTATTTAGAAACACAAGGAGATGAATGAAAGTGATGCTGGTGTCAATGTCAGTCCATTTTAACATGTAATTTTATTAAAACGCCAAAGTTATATGCTTAAGTTTGAGGATTTTTTTTAAAAAAACCTATCCAACCAACATTTATGCTATTCTTTATGAAGAAATATCAACCACCCAAAACTGTCTGGCTTATGACTTCCCTTTTCTATAATAAACTTTGAAGTTCACCTGTACCAGTGGTGGGTTTCAAAAATTGTTCGAACCAACCCTGTGGGTGTGGCCTCCTTTGTGGGAGTGGCTTGCCACCCATGTGACCGGATGGGAGTGGCCTGCCGCCCATGTGACCA